TAATAAATCCCGCAGTACTATGGACCAGGGGTTTCAATCATCCCATAGCACACTTACTAATAAATCCCGCTGCACTATGGAGCAGGGATTTCATTCGTCCCGTAGCAAACTTACTAATAAATCCCGCAGTACTCTGGACCAGGGATTTCAATCATCCCATAGCACACTTACTAATAAATCCCACTGTACTATGGACCAGGGATTTCATTCATACCGTAGCACACAATAATAAATCCTGCTGCACTATGGACCAGGTATTTCATTCGTCCCTTAGCACACTATGGGAGATTTATCAAAGTGTTCTGTTCCAAAAAGTGGAGCAAAATTGGAAAAGGGGAGTGTGACAGATCCCTCTGTCCTAGACTGAATCAACCGTATGGCTTGTTCACTTATTTAATTCGTTTTTCTCGTTCCTGTGGACTCTATGGCATTCCCCTGTTTATGACCGAACAAAACTACCGAACGGCCGGCCACCCAGTAGAGGAGTGTGCTGCTGATTAACCTCTTGGCCCTATTCGAACGTTGAGGATTAACCGCAGACACCTCGTAATTGATACAGCAGTTGGGTGGCCGCCATTCGAATGCCGAACACAAGGTCGCGGCCATTTTAAAAACACACGAACGCACAGCGGTGTTAGACGCCTAACTCATGGAACTAAAAACGGACACATTTTGGCACGAACACCGCTGAAGCTGCCGACCTCCCTTCTTGTTCGGTAGATTGACACGAATGACCCTATATTAGGTGGATTTAAACGGAATACACCGTACCCCAGATAGGTATCCCGTGGAGCCCATTGAATGAAAACTGACTGTGTGAACACTTTGGCTCCACAGCGATTGGACTGTGTGTATAGGATCTGAGCGCTATTCGGTACTTTGGTGCGCTCAGTTCCTAGCTATCTGGGGACCTGTGGAATGCCTATAAAATCTTGTAAAATGCAACAGTTATGTAATTTTATGTATTTTTAAGTATTTTTGTTATTATCCCTCAAAATGGCGTTTAGGCTCTGTCCTGGGAGATAATTGAATTAATTCACAATTATCTTCCCGGGCAGAGCAGAGGGTTCTGGGCAAGAAAAGAGGAATGGCTTATTATGTCTTCTGTGATTGCTTAATACATTGTCCTTGTAACAGTGGGGGGGGACTTGCATAAAAGCCGGGCATGTAGCCCTAATTAAACAGATTCCTGCTGACCCTCAATACAGAGCTGTGTCTCGTCTTTGGGGGGGATTATTCGTATGGAGTATGCCTGTTCAGATGTTTGGAGGGATATTTGATTCATATGGTGGCTGTTCGGGAGAAATAGTGTATTCGTATATCTGTTCGGTTACTTGGGAAAACTACCTCATCCGTACGGCTACTGTTTGGTGCTTTGTAACACTCAGTGGCTGTCTCTGCATCCGTTAAGGGAATGTCTCATACAGCTGTAACCCCTCGCATACCGGGGGAGCCGTAACAATTGGTGGCAAGCGGCGGTATGTTCCTACAGCCCAGGAGGTCAGCTACAGAGCCATAGACGGAAGGAATTACAGTATGAACAACTGAAACGCTCTACCCTTAAGGATTTACTGGAAAGCCGTGGCCGCTCAGCAAGTAACAGGAAGAAAAGGGACATTATTACAGACCTGGTAGAAATGGATAACAGCGAAAGACCCAGCATCACAGACAGGACACAAGGAGGCAAGCTTTGACCGGGCAGTCCGCATAAGGCTGGCAACATTTTGGCCCCAATCCCTCAGCAAAGATAATTGAACGAGTCATAGCAGCCATGGAGGCGAATCAGCAAAGAGGTACTGCAGCAGCTGAAATATCCATTGCACCGGAGAAGAGAAAGGTACCTTTTGCCGCTTTTAAAATTTTTAGTGAAGCGGAGGGGGAGATTGATGGGTACCTGACCGACTTTGAAAGGCAGTGTGCCCTGCACCAAATACCCACGGATGAATGGGTCGCTATTTTGTCGGGGAAATAATCAGGGCGGGCCAGTGAAGCATTCAGGGCCATACCAGACGAGGACATTGCAGATTATGGACTGGTAAAGGAAGCATTACTAGCCAGGTACGCCGTTACCACAGAGGCGTACCGCAGGAGGTTCAGAGAAACTAGTAAACTAGCAGGTGACTCTCACGTGGAGTGGGCTTGCCGAGTCCACCACAAGTCGACTCAATGGATGTCAAACGGTGTCTGGGGAGGAGGAGGTGTTACAACTCTTCCTGCTGGAGCACTTTTACGAGAAAATGGCTCCAGGGATAAGAGAATGGGTACGAGATAGGAAACCTCTCACCATGGCAGGAGCAGCTCGTCTGGCAGACGAATACACCGACGCTCGTAAACTAGACGGCCAGGCCCCGAGAATGCCAAACCGCATAGATCACCACCCGCTGACAAACACCCTAGCGGCAACACCCCCACCACCGGCGTACCGGGCTGCATCATCCCCTCAGACGGCTCCTCATTCCCAAACACCCAGGTTCAACGCCCAGTTATTCACAACCGCTGAGGTGTTTCGGCTGTAATCAAGTGGGGCATCGGAGACAGGATTGCCCTTTGAATTCATCCAGGCAGTCCCAGTCATGGAGAAGGCCAGCGGAGAACAACGCCGGCTGCCCACTGCGTGGAAGAAGAAGAGTGTTGGGGTATTCTACATGAGGCGGATCCCGTACAGGCTGCTAACCGGGACAACCGACAGCAACACCACCAGACCGTTAAGATCAATGCGAAGGTTGCTAGCGGGTTGAGGGACACTGGTGCCACGATGACCTTACTACAAAAACATCTGGTATCCGAAAGCCAGCACACCGGGGACACTTGCCGTACGGGTAGCAGGAGGCACTGTCTTTCACCTACCTGTTGCCCGGGTTCACTTGGATTGGGAGGTTGGTTCAGGACATGTCAATGTTGGGGTGATGAAAGACTTGCCAGCCAATGTACTACAGACATTTGTACGTTAGACATTTGGGAGGGAGACCCGGGAGGACCCGACGCTACAGAAATACAGGAGGAAGGGATAGACGGGGAACGTTTTGAATGGGTAGGGGACAGACTGTACAGGATTCCCAAACCGTCCTCAGGGAATAATACCCCTTCACAGAGAAGACAGCTAGTAGTGCCCGCCAAATACCGGCAAGAAATCCTACGGATAGGGCATGATGTACCGTTAGCGGAACACTTAGGGTCCCGTCGCACCGCTTACAGGATCACCCAGAATTTCTTTTGGCCCAATTTCAACCAGGCGGTGCAACAATACTGTAGCAGGTGTGACACATGTCAACGGATAGGGAAGAGGGGGGACCACCCTAAGGCAATAAAGGAAAAGAATGTCCATGCCTATTATTGGGGAACCCTTCTCTCGTGTAGCCGGTGACATTGTGGGCCCACTGGCTAGGGCTAGTCCCTCCGGGAAGAAGTACATTCTTACCGTGGTGGACTATGCCACCCATTACCCAGAAGTCGTAGCCCTGTCCAACATTGAGGCAGAGACAGTGGCGGATGCTTTAGTGAAGGTCTTTTCTAGAGTTGGATTCCCCAAGGAGATTCTCTCCGATCAAGGAACCCAGTTCACCGCTGTATTAACCCAGCAGTTGTGGAAGGTGTGTAATATTAAACCCTTTCTTAGCACACCATACCATCCCCAAACTAACGGGCTCTGTGAACGTTTTAATGGGACCCTCAAGCAAATGCTGAGGACTTTCACGGACGCTTGCAGAGACTGGGAGAGATTCCTGCCGCACCTGTTATTCGCATACAGAGAGGTGCCCCAGGAATCTACGGGGTTCTCTCCTTTCGAGTTACTCTATGGGAGAAGGGTCCGCGGGCCCCTTGATCTCATCCGAGGGCCATGGGAACGGAGAGACAGAGCAAGAAGGGACCCCCATTAGTACCATACGTTCTAGAGCTTCAGGACCACATGGAGCGGTCTCTGATGGTCAGAGAGAATCTCCAGGCGGCCCAAGGAAGACAGAAGAGGTGGTATGATCGGGTGTTCCAGGTAGGACAAAAGGTCCTAGTACTCAAGCCAGTAAAACACAAGATGCAAGCATCTTGGCAGGGGCCGTATAAAGTCATGGCCCAGGTGTGTGACACCACATATATATTTTTGCCAGCTGTGCGGATGAAAGGATCCAACAGTCCTTTCATGTGAACATGCTAAAAGAATATCAAGAGAGACAGGAGGACGTTGCTGCTGTATGTGCCCCCGCTACCGACGATCCAGAGAACTTGCCGCTCCCTGACTTATTAGAGAGGGACCCCCAGACCGACATGACCAGCCTGGTACAGCTAGGGGAAAGGTTAAGCCCCTCGGAAAAGGAACAGGCCAAAGGGCTACCACCCTAGCAGTCCATAAAGTAGAGACTCCTGGACAGGCACCCCTTCGACAACCTCCCTACCGTATCCCTGAAGCAGTCCAAGAAGAAATGCGGAAGGAGATACAGGAAATGACCCAGCTAGGAGTCACTAAGCCCTCCGACAGTCCTTGGGGTTTCGCCTGTAGTCCTGGTGCCCTCAGAAAAGGAACAGGCCAAAGGGCTGTTATGGGAGAAAGGGTGACCTTTTCTCAGGAACCAGGTTATACCACCCTAGCTGTCCATAAAGTAGAGACTCCTGGACAGGCACCCCTTCGACAACCTTCCTACCGTATCCCTGAAGCAGTTCAAGAAGGAATGCAGAAGGAGATACAGGAAATGACCCAGCTAGGAGTCATTGAGCTCTCTGACAGTCCTTGGGCTTCGCCTGTAGTCCTGGTGCCTAAGAAGGATGAGACCACCCGGTTCTGTGTGGACTACAGGCGTTTTAACGAGAAGACCACCACTGATGCCTACCCAATGCCCCGGGTAGACGAGCTATTAGACCGCATAGCCAGGGGACGCTATCTGACTACCATGGATCTATGTAAAGGTTATTGGCAGATTCCCCTGGCCAAGGATGCTATCACCAAGTCGGCATTCGTCACTCCGTTTGGTCTGTACCAGTTCAAGGTCATGCCTTTCGGAATGAAGAATGCCCCGGCTACTTTCCAGCGCATGGTGGATAGACTCCTTGATGGCTTCCAGGACTTTGCGTGTGCTTACCTGGATGACATTGCGGTCTACAGTGGGTCTTGGGAGGAGCACCTAACGCACGTTGTGGTAGTTCTGGATAAGATTCGGGCCGCTGGCCTGACCCTTAAGCTGGATAAGTGCCATCTGGGCATGGCAGAGGTACAGTACTTGGGACACAGGGTGGGGTGTGGAAGCCAAAGACCCGAGCCAGCCAAGGTGGAGGCCTTAGCAAACTGGCCCACATTCCGCACCAAGACCCTGGTACTAGCCTTTTTAGGCACAGCAGGGTGTTACCGTCGTTTTGTGCCTGACTATAGTACGATAGCCAAATCTCTGACAGACCTGACCAAAAAGAGTGTGGTCTCCAGCTTGTGAAGCCGCGTTTACTGCCTTAAAGCAAGCCCTCATGAATGCCCCCGTTTTGGCTGCCCCAGTACCTAACTAAGTTTTCTCGTCCATACAGACGCTTCCATGTTTGGACTGGGGGCTGTGCTAAGCCAGGTCGGGAAGGATGGAGGAGAGCACCCCGTCGCATACCTGAGCCGGAAATTACTACCACCGGAAGGGAGTTATGCGGCGGTGGAAAAAGAATGTTTGGCTCTTGTCTGGGCCCTTAAAAAAAAAAAAACTCACCCCCTACTTATATGGGCAGGAACTTTCTCTGATCACTGATCACAACCCCTTGGTATGGCTTAACCGGGTTGCAGGGGACAACGGCAGGTTATTACGGTGGAGCCTAGCCCTGCAACCTTACAATTTTACCATCACCTACAGACCCGGCAAACACAATGGGAATGCTGATGGGCTCTCACGACAGACTGAATTGACTTCAGCTCTTCAGTCCGGACATCCCCAAGTTGACCCGTTAAAGGATCAAACCGGGTCTCACGGAGTGTCCCACAAGGGGGGAGCCGTGTGACAGATCCCTCTGTCCTAGACTGAATCAACCGTATGGCTTGTTCACTTATTTAATTTGTTTTTCTCGTTCCTGTGGACTATGGCATTCCCCTATTTATGACCGAACAAAACTACTGAACAGCCGGCCACCCAGTAGAGGAGTGTGCTGCTGATTAACCTCTTGGCCCCATTCGAACGTTGAGGATTAACCGCAGACACCTCGTAACTGATACAGCAGTTGGGTGGCCGCCATTCGAATGCCGAACACGAGGTCGCGGCCATTTTAAAACACACGAACGCACAGCGGTGTTTGACGCCTAACCCATGGAACTAAAAACGGACACATTTTGGCACGAACACCGCTGACGCCACCGACGACCTTTCTTGCTCGGTAGAGCCGTAACAGGGAGGATTCACCGCTGGAACTCACCTACAGCTTTTTCTTGTTTCCATGGAGATTGCACAATTTTATGTACTTTAGATCGCTTTTAAAACAGAAGACATTGATAAATCTCTCTCAGTGTGTTTATCAGCAAAAACTAGACACATAAAATTCTCATTTTAAAGCGAATAATACTGCAGCTATTTTGTAATTAAATGTGCCAATTTATCTTTGTTAAGTGGGTGAATTTAAAATGACTGATTATACAATACGCCTACAATGAAAATCTGTTCATTTTTCTAAGGCTCGTTGTGTGCATTTAATCACTCCAATGCGTCCCTGTCACAGAGCTGATATACTACAGTAAAAAAAAAAAAAAAAGGAAATATTTCCTGTAGGGATGCACAGAAATTTCGGCCGAAAACAGGTCATATTTGCAAAATAAAAAAATTTAAAAATGTAAAAAAAAATTTTTTTTAATTTTTTAATTTTTGTAGTGCATAGTTTAACAGACATGCTTGCATCAACAATTTAGATGATTATATATGACAATGAAAGATAGTAATGATAACATGAAAAGTCAAGAATACTGCACTAAGGATGGTGGGGGGAGAAAGAACACTATGGGACAGGGAAGAGCACTATGGGAGAGAACACTATGGGACAGGGGGAGAACACTATATAGGGGGAGCACTATGGGGAGAGGGGAGAACACTATAGGGACACTACTCAAACACTATGGACGGGAGAACACTATGGGGCATATGGGACGGGGGAGAACACTATAGGGACGGGGGAGAACACTATGGGGCAGAGAACACTATGGGGCAGGGAGAACACTATGGGGCGGGGGAGAACACTATGGGGCAGGGGAGAGGGAGAAACACTATGGCCGGGGGAGAACACTATGGGCAGGGAGAAAAACACTATGGGACAGGAGAGGGGGGGAGAACACAAAAAAAAGAGGGAGGAGAGAGGAACATCGGGGGGGGGGGGAGGGGGAGACCACTAAAAGAGAAGTGAAGTTTTTCATATTGGATTAACTAAATTTATTAAAAAAAAAAGTCAAATTTTAATAAAACTATAGAAAAACAAAAAATAATTTTCGGGCCAAATTTTCATTTCGGTGCATCCCTAATTTTCAGACACAAGAATCGTACTAAGCAGGACCAGGTGAAGAAAACCACTTAACGACAAAAACAAGCAGCTTTCTACCAACAGCCCAATTCGTCTCTGGGATCATTATAAATGCATCAAATATATGAAAATAGGATGAAATAACAGTGTCATTCTGTTTGTATCTTGTGGAGCATTGCGATGGCGCAGTGGGGCGAGGACTAGCTTAATTCAGATGTTTAAAAAATGCACAAGCAAGAATTTACAACAAGATTTCATTTAAGAAACGTGCTCTGCGCACATGAATAAACACCACAAATATCTCCTAGTTAATCGTAGGAATGAAATAAATTCACTAACTACATGTGACTAAAAGACGAGAGTTTGGGATAAAACCAAGTAGGCCGTTTAATAGGTGGACAGCCTCAAAGGTCATCTCTCTGGAAGACACACACAGTTAGTCATTCAGAGCCAGGGTCCACTAGATGACTTATTCTATAAACTACAAGTGGGAAAGATTACAACACAGTGATGATCTAGAAACAGCAATATACAAGACGTCAGAACAAGGGAGGAATCGTACTGAGGAGGTTAAAGTTCTTAACTCAGTTTTACTAAGGCGTTTCCCAAAGTTTCCTTTACTTTGCTAAAGTAAATATTGGATCGATACCGTCATTCAGATGCTATACAAAACATGATAACCACGGTTTGTTACGAAATCAAAGTGAAAACATAAAAAAAAAAAAAAAAAAGAATCTATGTGACAGCATTTCCAGTATTTATTCAAATGTTTAACATATTTAGCAGTAATTCTAAAATGATCCAGGTTTAAATGGGATCCCACAATCATCACTGCAGCCTATCCGTTACAAGGACACTCCACTGCCAAAATAAAAATGTAAAATTTTTTTTAGCAGATATACTGCCAATGAAGACATACATGCATTTAATTATACATTTTTTTTCCCATTAGTTGCATTTATAAAGATCGCTTGTAAAAGCTACAGATCTCTTGTCTGCAGCATTTGCAATCTCTCCCCTTCTAACCCTGCCAAGACTTTCTGTGGCTGTCCAATCACAGACTTCCCAATGTAGCTCAATGAGAAGTCTTTACAAGGCAGGTGCTCTGGGCAAATGCTGCCTCTTGAGTTTATCTCCACTGAGCTAAACAAACCATGAAGTAGCAGGACCGGCTGTCTGATTGACAGCCAGGGGGGTGTAACCAAGTTCACTTATATAAAGAAGGGTAAATTTTTATTATAATCTGCATTTTGTCTAAACAGGGGTGGTGGAGGAAGGGAGACACTACACACATAAAAGACTTCAGCAAGTTAAAGAACACTAGGGGTCCGCTTAATGTATAGTATACAGCTTAATGTATTTGTTGTGGTGAGTTACAGCCTAGGAACACCTCCACTGGCCACTCCTCAGACGGCTGCTAGAGGCGCTTCATGGGGCAGTGCTGCACAGTGTGACTGCCATTCAGAGTCTCCACCCTCTGCATGCAGACACTGACCATTCCTCATAGTAATGTATTGATTCAATGTAGCTTTTGACTTGGATTCCATGGCGGACCATCGCCGCCACGAATTCCCTTTCACAGTGTGATTTAGCTCCTTCCAAACGCAGTAGTAATTATAGCTGGTATAGCTTTCCCCATACATTAGTCGAGAATGAATGTTGGGTGTAGAACTAGATTATCCAGGCAAGACAAAATGTATACACAGACCCCCAGCATGGTGTTTGCATACAGAACAAAACAAACTCCTCCCAGGTGTCACGGTGTCTGGGAGATAATGGAGTCAAAGCCTGGTAACTCGATGGTCTCTCAGTTACAGGAAAACACCCCTAAACCACATTTAAATTACACACAAACCCCCATGTATTAAATCAAAGAATAGCCAGGATCAGAATGCCCATGTGTGGCGGAACCAACCTCACCACTATGCACTGGAGAAGCCTGGTTGCCCGCCTGTTGCCTTTGGATTATGGCCCCATGTTAAAAGGCTTGATTTTCCCCTGCAAAGACAAGAAAGCCGGGTCATTTGGTGCTTGCCCTATTTGAGCAGTGATACCCCAGATACCTATGCCATGGAGCCCATTCGTATAATGAAAGACTATGGGAAAGACTTTGGCTCCATGGCAATTGAACTGTATGTGTGTGCTCTGAGCGCCATTCAGTGATAATGTGCGCTCAGACCTGAGCTATCTGGGGATATGTTGAATGTACCTTTTTTGTGCAATGGCTGCACAGTTATATATGTTTTTTTTATTGTCTTTTGCTGCCATGTGTTCAATAGAGTTTTGCCTCTGTCTTTGGAGATAATTGGATTACTTCTAATTATCTCCAGGATAGAAGACTCTGTGGTTTTGGGCAGAAAAGCCATGCTTCCTTTGGTCACAAAGGACTTCGATCTATCTTTTGAACCAATGGGCCAATTTGGATGATTTTGACATATGTTTGTATTTGGAGTATGCTGATAAGTTTTATGTGAATGTGATGCATACTTTTCAAGTTATGAATAATGTGGAAAAACTATTTCTCTGCTTGTTATAATTACATTACCCATTGTGTAAGGTAATTGAATCACAGGCAGAGGGGAGGATTTTGTGTGGGAGTGTCTGAGTGTATTGTATGTGTTTATTGGTTGTGTTCCAAAACCCTCTCGGTGGTACTAATGTGTAAGATCAATAAACCCACAGCTCTGGCATATTCTGCTTAACCCTCAAACGAAGTGTCGTCTCGTTATTGGGGGAATTGGATTGTATGCTGACTGCCAGGAGTGTAAACCTTTCGTATGGTTTTTCCTGTTCAGCTGTTTCCAGTATTCGTGAGTTTCCTGTTCGGGAGTTGGCGAATTCGTGTAGTTTGCAGTTCGGGAGATTGGTGATTTCAGTAGCTGTCTGTGCATCTGAAAGGGGAATATCGCTTAAACGTTTTTTTAACCTCTTGTGGGCAAAACGGTCCGTTATACCATGTTTACAAATAGCGCTCAGATCCGTTCGGTGTAAGGGAATCACCATCGGGGTAAAGTTCTGACAGGCTGGCCACGTAATTGTAGCCCAAAGCAGCTCAAGGGAGAAAGGCAGCGGCCGGTCAAATTTCGAGACCTTTGGTTGATTGAGTCTTTTATCCGAATAGCGCTCTCATCCCCTGTCTGCGAGAGGAGCAGAGGAAGGTACAAGTTCACCAGGGTTCACGAATTGGAGTAGCAGAAATCAGTTCCACGTGTTAGACGACAAAGTACTTGTGTTCGGTCATCCGAATGGCGGCATCCCAGAGAGAGCACTTAAGTTAACAACTTCTTTTGAAGTTAAAGAGCCCGGGGTGGTCTGGGCTTGGGGGTATATAAAAGGGGGAAAAAGAATCTCTATTCGGGAAACGAACAGGGGGTAGAGAAAACCAAATAAAGAAGGTTTGCTGTTGGGGTAGAGCGGAATAAAACAATTGATTTGGTGTTCTGTCACAGATTTAATGCCAGTTTGCGTGGGGTTTAACGCCAGTTTGTGTGGGATTAAAGTTACAGATGTCACATGATCACCAACACCCTAAATGGAATCGGCAGATCATGGCGGGCACAGTCTCCTCGTGTAAGGTGCGGTGAAATAATGCCAGAAATGTTGTTGGTGTGTAATTAAACTGCATCTTAGCTGTGAGAGGATAATTCACACATACATTCCAGCAGCCTTTCCTACAATAAAGACTTATCTTTATCACGTCAATTCCAGTCGCATTACAAATTCCTTAACACACAGAAAGCATGTAGACGTTCGTGATAACACCCAACCTTCAAATGCCTCCTGTACTGGGTGTCACATTCAACACAGCTCGTTAAAAAAGGAGGTTCTTCCACTATAAAGCATTCCGCCACTCATCTCCCAGCACGACACTCCGCTACTCATCTCCCAGCGTGGCAGTGTGCTGCGCATCTCCCAACACGACAGTGCTTCTCAGTATCATGCTTACACTACACAGAATTAAAGCATTAGACTCTCAATGCCTAAATTAACCCATTCCCTGCCAGAAATCAGCACTGTATCAGAAAGAGCTTAGGTTAACCCATTCCCTGCCAGAAACCAACACTGTATCTGACAGAGCCTAGATTAACCCATTCCCTGCAAGAAACACTATATTAGAGCCTAGATTAACTAATTCCCTGCCAGAGATTAGCACAGTTTCAGATGTAATCATTATTAGTCTGATGACAGGCTGTGAATGCTGAGTGAGTGACTTCACTGTGACCTGCAGATCCCCTGGTTTGGCAAGTCAGCAAATAGTCTAGGCTTGTCCAGGGCGATTTATGAAAAGCTCTTTAACGAAACAACAAACATCTACAAATAATGTGAGAGGCTGCGCTAGTGACAGAGGGTGAGCTGCAAGTTTAAATAATAAAATATAAATCCACTTTCTAACTTTATTACATCATCGCATTGGGGGTCACTCCATCACAGACGCTGGTATAAAAAGCATTAGTTATATTACCACCGTCTCCGTGGAAACCACTGAAAACCAAACAAGGCCACCAGTCCACAAATCCCAGACAGTGTAAATCAATACATACGAGAGAGAGAGGGGGGGGGGGGTATTTACTAAATCCCGAACAGGTGTAAATCAATACATACAGGGGTATTTACTAAATCCCAGACGAATTGAAATCAATACATACGAGGGAGGGAGGTATTTTACTAAATCCCAGACGGTGTGAAATCATGTACATACAGGGAGGTACATTTGCTAAATCCCCGAACAGTGTAAATCAATACACGCTTTACAGGGGAGGGTATTTACTACCGCATTCTGAACAGTGTAAATCAATACGCCATGGGGGTATTTACTAAATCTAGACAGTGCGAAATCCAATACATACGAGAGAGAGGGGAGTATTTACTAAATCCCAGACAGGTGTAAATCAATACATACGAAGGGGTATTTTAAATCCCAGACAGTGTAAATCGTACATATAGAAATTATTTACTAAATCCCAGACAGTGTAAAGGTAATACATATAGAAATTATTTACTAAATCCCCAGAACCGGTGCTTAAATCAATACATACAGGGGGTATTTTACTAAATGCAGACAGGTACATCAATACATACGAGGGGTATTTACTAGAAATCCCAGACGAGGTATAAGAATCAGTACATACTTGCAGGGGGAGGGAGGTGGTACTAAATCTAGACAGTGTAAATCAGCCATACAGCCAGAGGGGTATTTACTAAATCTGGAGCAATTGTAAATCCAATACCTTATAGGTATTTACTAGTCCCAGACAGTGTAAATCTGAAAATACATATGGGGAAGGTATTTACTAAATCCCCGGAGCAGTGTAAATCAATACATACAGGGGGGTATTTACTAAATCCCAGACAGTGTAGAAATCCCGAGACATACAGGGGGAGTATGTACTGCTAAATCCCAGACAGTTTAAATCAGCCACATATACAGGGAGTATTTACTAAATCCCAGACAGTGTAAATAAAGTACATATATGGGGGGGGTATTTACTAAATCCCAGACAGTTAAAACAGATAAACACACAAAATCTATGTTATAATCCGAATGTGAATAGTTGTGTGTGAAAAGATTGATTTCACAAATAAAACGGATGAAAGCCAATTAATTAATTAATAATCAATATAGAGGATCCCAGGCCTGCGTTACCTCCAGGTTTATACCAAGGACCACATGGAACAATGACAAATGTATCTACACTGACAGACACAGAGACGATGATACATTGTTCAATCACACAGAGCTCCTGCCCCAACAAGCAATCCATTATAGACCATAGCACCACTGACTTGACAAGCCCACCCTTGTCTCTTCCTGGACCCCTAATCTAAAGTGCGGGGACTGCATTATCCTCTGGACTGAACATACCTACATCCATTGATGTTCCCAGCCAGTTACAGATCTCCTTTAACAGATGGTTTCTATCAATCTCCGTTTTTTCCCCCCCATTCCCTTATGTCCCCATTAGGAGTTAAATCACTTTGTTTCTGTAGCCCTAGTCACACCTCCCCTGGGTGTGACTGACAAGGCATGAAAAAAAAAAAAAAAGTGTTTTCATTTTCAGACGTAACTAACTTTAAAAGTTTTTTTTATCTTCTGTTCTGTAAATAGAACTTGAATCACACACATAGGTTCCTGCAAGGTCTAGCAAGCTATTAACAGAGCAGGATAGAAGAAATTCTAAATTAAACAGAATGTGCAATAAAGGAAGTGTAAACCGTAGATGACTCTGTGGCAAACGTGCCTATGCCATGAGCTCCTGGAGGAGCCTACTAGGGGCCCAAAGACCCTGTTTGGAAGTTAAACCTCCCCAGCCACCATTCCCTGCGTGTGGGCAGTGTGCCCAAAAGGAGGCCGAGTGCGCACCTAACAGGGATACTCAGCATGCCCTCTCCCCCCGCAAGTGTGTCCGTGTGACTGCATGCCTCGAGCATGCCAGCATGTACACAGTGCGCAGAGTACCCCTGGCAAGCGTGCCTCTTTGACCCCAGTAAGTGTGGAAGATTGCCCCCGGTAAGTGTGGCAGCATGTGACCATAGGCCCCCAGTTAGAGGGAAAGCGTGTGACGGCGTGCCCCCCCAGTCTTGCACTCACCCTGGGCTACTGAGAGCACAAGACTCCGGAGAAGGTTTCTGTGCAGCAAGCAGATAATGTGAAGGTAAAACAGGTGAACGCAGCTTCCAGGAACGAGATAATAATCCACCAATAACACCCTCCCCGCGGCAATGGACAGAGATAAGCACGTTTAATGACTGTACCATGGCAGAGGAGGGACCGAAGGGTTTATGATCCAACTCCACTGAAGGAACCTATAAAGCAAGCGATGCTAAAAATACAGAATAAAAACAAGCTAAACGTCGCCCAGGATTGAAGCCCAGCTCCGGAGTACACCTGTCTGCTCCTGCTCACAGCACCTTGAACTGAAGGTTATGGACACAGAGCAGCAGCCTCAACTTTCAAACAACCAAAGACGGGCCGTTAGTATGAAAAAACAGCCCAAACATTGAAAGTTAATAAAGTTGTGTTTTTTTTTTTATAGAAAACAAAAAAGTAAAAATTTTTAGGGAAAAATAAATGTTTCAATTTTGCCACACACACCCTCACCCACCCCTCTACTGGCAGTAGGACTGACAGATAGCTAGCTACAAGACTGAACTTTCATTTTGAAGGACTTCTCAGAGAAACACTGAATTGGCAGATTGCACTGCACGTACACAATGCTTCTGTATGAGAAGCGTCTGATTGCCAGGGTTGATGACTTCACAGTAACAGAACAAACGCTGCAGCAAGCTTGTTTAATAGGGAATTTAAAAAAAAAAAAAAAAGCATAAAATCTAAAAATTATAAAAAGGACTAAAGCCAATTAAAAGTAAAAACACTTTTTTTGGATTAGTGTTCCTTTAAAAGTGATACAGTAAGGCTCCACGCCAAAGCTCACAATAATACACAAAGTGTATCAGCGTATCAAAGAGCTCCACAGCAATATACAGTGTGTATGAAGATGACAGAGCTCCACAGCAATAAACCTCACTATAACCCGGTTGGGTACCTCCACCAACAGATACTCCTAGTGCTCACAAAGGAATCCAAGCACTCCTCCAGACACCATAAGCACCGCAGACCACCCCTACAGCGATGCGGCTGCGCCGAGGTATCGCCGTCCTTCATCCACCATGGATCCAAGACCAGGATCCAACTTCCAGTGGGTGAACCTCTCCTCCAACAGAGCGTAACAGGAACAGCTCTTAAAAGAGTTTAGTGATTATAATCCCAGGGGAATATAATGATATAGCAATCCCCAGAGTAGATGCAGCCTTTTCCCCCACACGAGACGAGGCTCTATGTTGAGGGTTGTGATGGTCTGAATATGTATTACCGTTTGTCATTCCCTTATTACCATAAAGTAATATCGCCAATAATCCACAGGGTAAAATATCGCTGGTGTCGCATAATAATCCACGCATGAGCCAAAGCTTAATGCTGGAACAAGACTGGTTTAATGGCAGGCAAAGGCATTAAATTTATTCAGCATCAAACTCGTCCTCTGAGCCAGAGAGATAATTGAGTTTTGGAAACATACTAAACTCATTATCTGCTGGCCAGAACATTTTTACAATTTCACATTTTCCAGAAATACCATAAACAGACATAAAAACCCCACAAAAAAAAAAAAATTCAGAAAAATTCAGACAAATCCGTTGGGTAGTTTGCGAACGGCACCGTGTGGAAGTTTGACCGGTCTGCCACGAGGTTGAATCCGACAAAGTTCCATGGAATTGGTAGCAAGAGCCGGTCTCCATTCGCATGGATTTATACGAAAACCGCCATAGATGGAGTAAAGCTGATTCGTGTATGTAACGGATCACCTGGCACCCCGACTGAGTACCTCCGTTGAAGGATGCTCCTAGCGCTTCCTCAGGGCACCAAGCACTCCAGCAGACACCATAACCACCGTAGACTCCTCCAGAGGGCAAGGCAGGAACAAGCTCTTACAAGAGCTTAGTAGTGATTTAGCAAGGGTGTATGACAAGCATAGCAATCCCTTGTAGCAGATTCCCCCAATAATGAGACGGCACTCCAAATTGAGGGTGAAGTAGAACTGACTGTACTGGCACATACAGCCTCTTTTATTCACAATCCACAAACATAGTACTGCCCACAGGGTTTTGAAATACAACCAATCAATCCGTACAATACACACAGACACTCCCACACAAAATCCTCCCCTCTGCCTGTGATATGATTACTGAACACAATGGTTAATATAATTATCACAGGCAGAGAAATACGGTTTTTACAAAATATTAATAACTTCACAAATATACATGCCACAAACATAAATTCGAACTCTGCACACTTGAATTACAGACATATCCAAAATTCAGCCAATTCCATCCAGGGGTTAAAAAGTTAGCTGGAGGTCCCTTTTTGAAAAAACGCCGAATGGGACTTAGTCTCTGCAGCTGCAAAATCATTGTGGGAGAAGGTAAGGCTCAGCGGTGTTCGCCGAACTGTGTAGCCGATTGCAGTTCCATGAATTTGGCTACACATACCGCTGACCGCATTGAATAAAAAAAAAAAAAAATTAAAAAATGGCCGCCGCGGGTTCGTTTGTCGAATGACGGCCACCCAGCGTTCGGCAATTTCCCTACAGCAGGCTCCCAGCCTGGGAGGTAAATTGCCTGCACACTTCCACTTCTGGGTGGTCCGCATGTGTGGTACTTGGTTCAGTAAGCCCCATTTACTGAACCAAGTGGGAGAAAGCCAAGAACATAGTATATTAACAGTCTGGGGACACCGTCTTAAAAGGGGCATTGTTCCCAAAAGTCACAGTATGTCCCCAGATGGTTCTTAAAGGGCATAATAAAATACAATATGCCCAGATACTGTATTTAATGGGCCAAATCTCCCAGGGGCCATAGTCAGCAGGCGGGCACACAGGCTTCTCCAATGCCCAGACGTTAGTTTCGCCACAGTGTAGAAGGCTCCTCTTGTTCGTCTGATTGAAACTCCTGAACGCCATTCGTCTACCGTATTGGGAAGTACTATGTATGGGACTTCCATAAAAACCGGGGTTCGTGCGAGTGCCATGCCCAGGCCCCTCCAAAAACCAGTGGTGAGGTCACTTTCACCACACTCACAGTAATACAGTATGCATGAGCATCACAGAGCTCCACAGCAATAAACCTCAAAGTAATATACACTGCAGGGCTCTACAAATTCCAGGCGCCAGGTCGCCATGGCGACTAAAAATGTTGCCCTGGTGCCTGCGGATTTGTCAGCTTTTTATCTAAGAAGACCGGTTGGGCAAATAATGGAGCTGGCTGTCCACCCGCGAGAGCATGTTGGCGGCCAGCTCAGTGAGCGTTGTAGCCGGCCGCCTTAGTGGAGCATCAAGGCAGTCGGCTGGTGCAGCCTGCGACGGAGCAGTGATCTTCCAGTCGCTCCTCTCTGCTCCCTCGCGCTGTTTAATGATGCTAGGAGCTGGAATTTGACATAATTCCAGCCCAGGCATCACTAGGAGCTGCAGGTAGATTACTGCTCCCTCTCACACAGGAAGAGAGAGCAGCTCCACTGGACTCCAGGGGAAATCCACTCAGCTCTCCCAAAGGTAGGGGAGGCTGGGTGGATTAAAATAAAAAAAATGTAAAAAGTAAATGCGCACCACTGTCATATATATATATATACACACACACACACACACACACACACACATATATATACATATACACACACATATACACACACACACACATATACATACACACATACATACACAAACACAGACCACTGTCAGTGTGTGTAGCGGATGACATGGGGCTGTCCTCAAAGTTTGCTTTAAAAAATGTATTTCGTGTGATTATTCCCCTGTATAGATGTATTGTATGTAGCATTCGTCTGATTGTTCGGTAGTTTTCAGTCAGTGTTCCATATGAATGAAAACTACCGAACCATCAGACTACCTCAGAGAGAAGTGTGCACCTCGTTAGGCTTTCACACTTCTGTAACCGCAAGCTAATTGACCATGCAATCGGTACTTTATATACATATCTGGGTGGCCGCCGTTCGGCATATGAACCGCATGGCGGCGGCCATCTTACGCAAGAAAATCTCAGCAGGGTTTGGTCGTCGAGTGTCTGGAACTCAAATCGGACACTCAATCACCCGAACACCGCTGAGACCTCCAAAGCTCCATAACCCTCGAACGGAGGGGCAAACCAGCCCCTCGTTCGGTGAACTAAAGGTACCTGTGACGGTAGTAATCTGTATCACCCTCTAATATTCCTTTTTTCCCCCAATAGCAGAATAATAATCCACAGGGTAAAATATCGCTGGTATCGCCAAATAATCCACACATGAGCCAAAGCTTAATGCTGGAACAAGACTGATTTACTGGAAGCAACAGGCATTCAATTTATACAGTAACAGACTCCTCCTGTGGGCCAGGCTAGATAATTGAGTTTCAGCAACATACTAAACTCAATTATCTGCTGGCCAGAAACATTACAATATTCTACATTTTTAGAAATATACTTTCTACATGACATATGAAGATAGCTAAGGATACTGGGAGTCACATATCCACATTGCACGAAAATCCATTCGGTAGTTTCCGTGTCGCATTGTGTGAAAGTTTGACCGGCTCGCCATGTGGTGGTATCCGATTTAGAGTTCCATGAACTCAGTAGTAAGAACCGGTCTCCATTCGTGCAGAATTACATGAAAACTACCATAGATATGTTGCAGCTGGTTACATGAGAGTGCTCCCCTCGTTCGGTATATTAAAACTCCCGAATGCCGGTTTGATACTATGTGTGGAAATAGGTCAGACGGGACTTCCATGGAGACCAGGCGTTCGTGTGATTGCCATGCCGAAAACAGTTCCAGACAATCCACGAGTAAGTACCGCTGGCCGCATTTGGGAGATTTAATATGGCCGCCATTCCTTTGTTCTCGCCACGTGTTCGTATGCCGAATGGCGGCCACCTAGGAGCACTCAATTAAGTTGCGGTTTTGTGTGGTTACTCTGTGTTCCAAGTTCTGATTGCTACCCAGGGTGGTCTCTGTTCGGTAGAACGAATAAATGTCCCGAACACAGAAATAACAACGAATACTTTACAGTCACTTAACTAGCAGGGAGAGAAAGTACCGAATACATGGAGGGTGATTCTTCACAGTACCAAACAAGGTTAATTCTATATGTTTTATCTCCCGAACAGAGACCGACCGCAAGGCCAAAACACATGGAGCCTTTTTCGGATAATACCTCGTGTGCGGTCGGTCAAATTGCCTCTTCCATTTAACTCCTGAACGCCTGGTCCGATCTGGGTGAATTTTGAATATGTTGGTCACCCAGATCAGGGCTACCAGGAGGTACCCTTTATGTAATTATATCTGACTGTTTT